GGTCCGTCTGTACCCCACGACCTTTTTTGGGGGTTTCCTTGGATCACTTAGGCAAATGCTGAGGCAGTAATATTCCACAGATAATCTTTCATTCTCTTCTGTCTTCATTTCGTCCGTCTCATCTTTCTCACCCGAACCACCACCCATCCATTCCCACGATTCCTAAATGGCGGCTGAAGAGGGCCTTCTGTCCTACCTTCCGGCATAGTTCGGAGGGTCTGTCCGCCCACCAGCATTACTGGCTGGTGGGAATGAAACATCCAAAAGTATTTTTTTTTTATTTAAATCGTCATAATACTGCATTCGAGATAGGTAGGGGTAAATTTTGTGTATCGACTCTTTGCAGGTAAACAATAGCGACGGTAACAATATCCTCAAATAATAATTGTAGACATACTTATATTTATAAACAAGTATTTCAAATAATATTAGAATACTAGTTAATTACAACCTTCACCTCTATCAGGGTGGAGATTGTGTTTATACGCTGACACAATTCAGAAGTTAAATTAAGATCAGAACTGACAATTCAGAATCAAAATCATCAAGTTCAGCATTTAATCATAAAAATCAGCGAAAGGACCTTCTGACTTATGTACATATACATTTTTATAGTAGTAATTGTAAATAGTGTAAATAAATATTACTAAGTGCAATTACTCGTGTTTCTTCATCATAAAAGTAGTTTATTTGCATTTAAACTCTGAAACTCTGATCATAAAATTCGTGTGCTCCCTCATAGGAGAAAGAAGTGGCGCGACAGCGCAAAATAAAAAGGCGGGATATGAACAAATTTTACGGATAAAGAGGGTAGATTTGTGTCAACGTATAAATAAACACAATCTCCACCCTGATAGAGGAAGAGGAATATTCTTTAAGTAGACCGACAGTCTATGAGGGACAGGGGTTACCCGGGGTACAGAGGGTTGAAGTGCTCTATTTTTTTTTAAATTAGGTTATCGAAACTGTGACGAATATTTTGGGTTAGGTTTTTTGCAATCATTTTTGTCCATTTCATCGTTGTCCGGCGCCTTCGTTTCAACTCATGAGTTCGCCCTTCAAGAATGAATATAGCGAGGTCTACATTTACGTAAATTTTTGAACACTATCTCGATAAGCAAATTTAATAAAATATAGGACATTTTCGCTCTCCGTATCTATCCCCAATTCCTAGTGGGCTAGTTGGTTCGACTTGAATCAATATCTAAAAATATTACAAAACGTGTAGAGGGTTTAACTAGATTTATTGACGTCAGCTGACATTAATCAAAATTCACACTCTAAACATAGTCTTCATAGGACTAAGCACTGAATTTCTAACGTAGGCTAACATTATACTATCGTAATTGGTCTGATTTTTAGTTAATTTTATTTAAGTCGAATTTGTCATTAGGAACGACAATGGAAAAATTTCTTGGAAAAGTACTGCACTGAAGATACTGTTGCATTGAACATTTATTGGCATGTCATAATTACAATGTTAGTATGGTTACCTTTATTAATTATGCTCATCTGTTATATCTCAATATATGTAAAGGTATGTAAATTTAAACTCTTTACTCATTCAGTATGCCAAATGGTATTTTTTTATTTCGCGAAGAACACGATCGAAGTAGAACTTCTTATGCACAAAGATAGTTTAGTAAATATAGGATGTACAAACCGTCGTCAAAAGACAAAGGAAAGCTCAAAGCTTGTAAGTCCACCTAGCTTACCTAAATAAGCTCGACGATATCCAAGAAAAATTGACAATCGACTCGTTCATCAATAGATGGAGGGATAACGACAAACAACAGCGATTTTGCCTAGTAAGGCCAAGAGCTCTCGCCGGCACATTAGCCTAATCGCCGGAGTAGAATGTCGTTAGACAGGCTTCTCGGAATAGAGTGCGCGGGCTGCAGGATGAGCCGGATGGACCAACTGATGATATACTTGAAGAGATTATTTGCCAAGTGGTAAGTGAATTCAATAAGAACCGAACCAGTAAGGTGTTGGAATTGTGCGAAGTTATTGGGCCACGTAAAAAGCGCCTGCAAGAACGAGACTACACAAGAGCGCATGGGAAACCATTCAGGGTCAATCCCGGAACAGGAAGTCCAATGCGTAGTTGCATAGACAAAAACTAGAACTGACAACCTTTTTCTCATTAAATGCATAAACAGGAAATAGTTCATTTCTGCTGGATACAAGAGCAAGCAGAACAATTATAAAATTCAGAATATTGACCAAGCTTAATAAGCTTTTAAGTAAGCGAAATGAAAGCTAAGTATTGCCATTGAAGAGCTAGTGGCTGTCAATGGTGAAAGTTATATCAATATAAAAGCAGGCAAAAACTCTTTTCATCACTTGGTGCTGGTTGTGGAAATGAAAGAAAAGGTAATTTTAAGTTTGGACCTTTTCCGGAAATATGACTTTTACTTAGCGAAGTAAAATGATGGGATCAAGAATGGTCTAACTGTTCCTATTGAGATGTCACAAATGATGGCTTTGTTTGTACCCGGTATATGGATACGTTTGAATACTAGGAACTTGTTAGAACTAAGTTATGTTTGAAGTTTTTTATCGGACTCTTGCTTAGTTGCAAGGGCTTCGTAATCAGTGGGACTTGACACTTCTGAAATACGTGAAAGAGTGTCTGCTACGGTGTTGTCCTTACTCGAAATATGTTGTATGTTTGTTGAAAATTGGCTGATGAAATTTAAATGGCGTGACTGTCTCGGGGAGTACTTGTCAGGGTTCTGACGGAAGGAAAAGGTAAGAGGTTTGTGATCCGTGAAATTAATGTAGTCGAAAGTGCTAAATTACACGACAGATTGCTAGAAGTTCTCAATCCAAAGCACTGGATTTAGTCTCTGCGTTGAAGAGTTTACCAGAGAAGAATGCTGTGAGCTCCCAACTTCCATCGTGGTATTGTTGTAACGCAGCGTCCAAGCAGTGGTCGGAAGCAACACAAAATATAGCTAATGTTCCATTGGGGTGGTGTAGAACACTAGTTTGAGCAAGTTGTTTCTTACTCAATTCGAATGGGTCGCCAGCCGTTTTTTTTCCATCGTAGGGGTGTGTTGCCTTTTAAATTTCCTTGGAGTAATTTGTTCAATTCTGGGTCAGTGTGGGCAGCGTTTGGTAGGAATTTCCTGTAGAAGTTTAACATGTGCAGAAATTGTCGCAATTGTTTTGCCGTGCTCTCTTTTGGATAATTTATAATTGTTGTTACTCTATCTGGTAAAGGTAGGGTTGCCATCTCTAAAATTTGGAAACCAGGGCAAGACGCGTGAAAACTCCGGATTTTAGAGTCCAGAACCCGGACATGTCAACAGGTTTTTTTAAACATAGTCAGTGTAACAAAAAACAGTTGAAAATGTCATAAATCACCCTTTTATTTATTTTCAGACCTTAAAATTAAATTTAGTCATTCTTTATCATCATTTTCAATGTACCTAACAAAACAGAATCTTATTACAGTTTGTTACAAATTGTTTTAATAATCAGTTAGATTTCTTTTACGTGTGTGGCGGGCGGCCCAAGACTTTAAATTTTTAAACCAGGACTACAAATGAACCCCCCCCCCCGGACGCTCCCCGGATGCCCTCTAAACTAGGACAAATCTGGGGAAACACGGACGGATGGCAACTCTAGGTAAAGGTCGTGTACCTTTCGCTGACACAGAGTAACCTAGAAAAGAAACTTCTTTTTCACTGAACTTACACTTTGGTTTGTTTAGTAGCACATCATATGAGTTTAATCGCGTGAACACTGTAAATGTTGTTCGTGCTGAGTTGCAGATTCCGATGCGACGAGGATATCGTCAATGTGGTCAAAACAAAAGTTGATGCCGCGTAATACTTCATCTATAAATCGTTGAAATGTATCACTCGCGTTGCGAAGGCTAAATTCATAAACGAAAATTCGAATAAACCGAATGAAGTTGTTATTTAGGTCTTCGGAATGTCTTCGTCAACAACCGGGATTTGGTTGTATGCTCGAATCAGGCCATTTGTGGAGAATATTATTTTGTTTGATGATAAGGCTTGCGTAAAATCTCCAATATTTCGGGCAGGATATTTGTCAAGAATAGTTCTTGCGTTGAATAAGCAATAATCTCTGCAGGGTCGCCACTCATCGTCTTTCTTCGGACTATGTATAGTGGCGATGCTCATGGACTTGAGGAAGAGCAAGCGATGCCCAGTTTCTCAAACTCTCTTTTGGCTGATGCAAATTGGTCCAGAGCAAGCTACAGGAGGACGACCAGGAGTAGTGTTTATGTAAAGCCTCGTTATATGCTTGGGGTGCATGAAGTAACCGTTGGAGCGCAGTAGTGACGGAAACTGCTTGAGTAGGTTGTCGTATCTGGATGTGGCGAATATGTTATCGGTGGTTTCTCAAATCTGCGAGCAATTCATAGTGGGCCAAGAAATCGAGGCCAATTATTGGTTTGTTGACATCCGCAAATATAAATCGCAGTGGGAAATTTCTACGTAGGCCTAAGTTGAGGGACAGGTTGATGTAGCCGTAGGTCGAAATGATGGTGCCATTTGCTGCTTGTAGCGGGAATGGTGATTTCTGACGTGGCCCAGGTATTAGAGACTTGGGATATACGCAGATATCAGCACCTGTGTCGACCAGAAATTGTAGGCGTGTAACTATGTCCGTAACGAAAAGACGACGTTACGCAGAGCGGACATCACTCGTCGCCTCTAGTGATGTCCGTTGCGGTTTTCCGACCGCATTGAACATGGAGGGGCCCCCTTGAGAGCTTTGTCTTTGAATCTCCGGTAATAATAACACTGACCGTTTGTCCTGTTGTTGTTGACCATGATTGGGAGGATCTTGACATCCGTTGTCTCATGTTTGCAACGTCATCCAGATGGCGTAGGAACTGAGAGGGTTTGCGATCACCGAGTGCTTCTTGTTCCAGTAGTTGCTTGATGTGTACATCTTGTGAAACACCAAGACGTCGAATGAGCGCTGCGTTGATTGTGCTGTATGGATCTTTCTCCGGAGGGTTCACGATGCTGTCACGTACTTCTGCGGCATATCGGGGATCAAGATTATCAAGTACATGCCCAAATTTGGTAGCTTTCGGAGTGATCGCAGATGCATCGAAACCAATCCGTCCACAGATGCCAAGACGGCGGCAGCGCGAATTGACATGTCTAAACGTCTCTAATTTGGTTGGCCTGGGCTACTGATCTATTGATGTGGTGATGCAGGCTGTGACGATACTCCCGGTATAAGGTCCAGAGGAGACATTACTTGCGGAACAATTCTGTACAATGGTGGTGAGCGTTTCAGCACGGTTGAGGGGGGCAACAGTTGTATTTCCCGCGATAGTCTGGGTGATTATGATTTCTTCTTTGGAAGGTAAGGAGCCCATTGGAACGCCTGATGATATTGTACAGTGTGGAATCGCAAAGTTGGTGGTGATGCAGGAAACGACGATATTACCAGTATGGAGCCCAGTGACAGATTGTAGAAGACAGACGGTGCTGTAGCTTATGTGTTCATCGGATGGCGCAGCATGACGTCGGGGTCACCAAATGTAGCGTGCATAACGCTAACAAATAAAAATGCAGACTCCAGTCTGTTTGCAAGTTTGGAGCTGGATGATGAAATGACTATGGCTATTTGCAAGTCTAATAGTCAGATGAAGACCAATCTGTTTGTATGACTGATTAATTTAATTGTATTTACACAGTATTTCTACAAACTATTTACATGGGGTAAATGTAAAGTGTTCGTCCAGCAGTTTGGTCCAAGTTCGATGGTTGACTCAGTTTGGTTGATCGACAGTGACAATAGAGTCTCTTGCCCACATGCCGTACGTTTATGAACTGTATCCTATACGGAGCGTTCCTACAATACAAATACAGATATATTTTAAATTTTAATATTAATTTAATTCGTGAAATGGCGTTTATTTTTCAATAATGCTTCGTTTATTTATTGAATATATTCATAATATATTCTAACACGCAATTGTTTTCGTAACATTTAATATTTTCACCATTTTACTCAAACTCAAACGCCGCATACGAAGTTTTACTTCAAAAATAAACAAATTTTACTGATTTACTGTTTTTGGAAATGCTGTTCATATAAAATAAAACTCAAACAACATTGTAATATTGTTTGAATTTTCAAGATTATGTAATTTGTCTAAAGTGATTTTTTTACAGTTACATCGTTATCAAATGAAATCACAAAGTTTACATGCTATCAAATACAAAAAGACGGCTGCCAAAATGATATGTTTCGTTGTGGTGACGTTTATGATTTGTCGTACGCCGTTTACAGCTCTTATATTCTACAGGAACTATCTGTTGAAACAGCGAACACTTTCAGGAAGCAGTAGCGTTCAAAATCAAGTAAGTAATAGCTCATTCATATTGTACTGCTTTGCGAAAAAAATCAACAGTGAAACCATACTTTTTACAAGAACCAGGGAGCGTCTAAAATATAATTAGGGACTCTTCATATTGCTGAAAACTATAAGCTTAATAAAGTTGATTTATTTATTTATTTAAATTGTGAAAATACGGATGATTCATTCTGTGAAAACACTGGGATGTATTCTACAGGTGTTTGAAACACTTTTTTATGTCATAAAGAGGGGCGGATGGAGATAAAAATTGTTAAAAATAAAGTAAAAAACAAGCTATAAAAGCCCATCTAATTGTTCATTCACAAGCTACAAATAAGACTTAGTACCTACCTATCAACTAAACGTATACAGTGGTACCTCGAGATACGAGTGCCCTAACACGAGTTACTTGAGATACGAGCTGTCGAGCGAGCAAAATTTTGTTTTGAAATACAAACGACATTTCAGATACAAGATTTTTGGCCTTTTTGTTAATAAATATTTACAGGAAAACAATCTACCCATACAAGCCCTTCTCGTCCTTGACAATGCTCCTGCTCACCCACCGAACCTCGAAGATGACATCCTCGAAGAGGTGATTTTTAATTTTAAAAAGGTACACTAAGCACCTGTTCCGACACTGCTTTGAGGTGACAGAGAACACAAACCTCACCCTTCGAGAGTATTGGAAGGACCACATTAACATTGTCATATACCCCAGAATTATTGATCAGGGCTGGCTGAGTATTACAACGAGAACCTTGACCTCTGCATGGAAGAAGCTGTGGACTGAGTCTGTAGCCGAAAGGACCTTCGAAGGATTCGAACCCGAGGTGCCAGTGGAGGGTCTCTGGGAAAATCAATGGGCGTTGTGATAGATGAGAGAGACGTGAACGAGCTCGTCGAGGAGCACTCTCAGGAACTGACGACCGAGGAATTACAAGAATTACAGTCGCAGCAGCATTCGGGGGTTCTGCAAGTAATTGGTTTCGAGGAAGAGCCAGAGGTGGAGGAGGTTATCTCTACAAGTGAGATAAAAGAGGTCTTGGGAATGTGTCTTATTCAAAAAAACGTAACAAAAATAATTGGGGGTATTATTTTTGGGGTTGGAACGGATTAATGGCTTTTCAGTTAATTTCAATGGGAAAAATTGCTTTGAGATACGAGCAAATTGACATACGAGCAAGGTTACGGAATGAATTAAACTCGTATCTCGAGGTATCACTGTATTGCGTATAACAATAATAATAACTTAAACCTTGATGTGTACCAATTAGCATATATATAGGCAAACCTTGATATATTAGCATTCATCCTCAGTACATAGCACTTAACTATTTGTTCATAGCATGTACTCATTGCACACTTTAGACATGACAATTACACTTAACCATCCCACCATAACTAAACCTTAGTCCTTGGTGCATAGCACTTATAGGTAGAAATTCTGTGGTTGTCATATATGAAGTGCTATATACCAAGGAGTATGTACCAAGGTGCGGGTTTTCTGATTCCCCTGAGCAAAGAACTTTTTTGTATTCTACCAGGACATCCTGCACCCCACCACCCCATTTCCGGTCGAAAATCAGCTCATATACACAATTACCATTCTCTTATCTCCACCCCCGGCGCCTAAATATATTTCTAAAAGGATGTCTCCCCCTTCAAATATGAATTTCTTATATACCTTATAGAATAGTTTCAAATAAGTAAAATATGTTTCGGCCTATTCTTTTCTCTGGTATCCCATTACTAAATTATTTACACTTTCTTTTCGAATATTTTATCGTCACTTCACCATTGCCATTTCCCTACACTGTACATGAGAATAGTTTCTATTAATGTTCCAAAAAGTAACATCAGTCTTTTTCTCCTTCTTCCTGCTTTTTTCATTCTTATATTTTTGAGTTCCCTACATTCAATCCTAATCTAATCTTCTATGTTTAATAAATCTTTTTTTATCGGTTTTCATTGTTTGCTATGAAGAGTATACTTATCATCTGTATATTTAGATCCGAATGGTAATAATTAATCCTCCTTCTCGTACATTCCTCAAGTTTTCTACGTTAAATGGTACTATACTAAGTGGATACTCTCCTTTTACTTGGTCTACTGTGGTCTGACCCTATTCCTTTTTTTACTTTTACCTTATGTCTCTACCATAACAGTTGCGACCTGACACATTTTTCCTATTAGCTCTCTCAGTTCCTCTTTACATGGAGGTACAGTCTATTTCAATTTGTTAGAATTGTGACCTTGAAGAAATCCTGCGCGAAGATAGAAAGAATAGATACTAGGCGTGAGCAAGACAGAAATAGTTGGAACAAGCTTGGACGAACAGAGCTTGTTATTATTTTTGGCTAAATATGCTTTTAAATAAAGCATATTCTTAAATTTTAACGAGGCAGTTTAAATAATTTTGCAAATGGTACTGTACACTTTTGTTTAGTTCTCGCTCGACAAATATAATTGAATTTGAAATTATGCTACGGGGCATCCTTATAAAGGGAAGGGGCATATCTCTAACTTCTTGAAACGAACAGTTTAAACAGTTCTTTGTGATGTTTCTTTTCATTAAAAGCCGTCTCCGTGTTTATAAAGAACGGAATTGCTTTATCTTATTACCGAGCGGCATGGCCTAGAGGTTTAAACCATTGCTTAGCATTCGAGAGGACGCCGGTTCGATTCCGGGTCCGTCTGCCTTGGTCCAAGTATTTCTGTGGTTTCCTTGGATCACATAGGCAAATTCTGGGGCAGTAATATTCCACAGATAATCTTTCATTCTCTTCTGTCTTCATTTCGTCCGTCTCAACTTTCCCTCAACCACCCACCCATTCCCACAATTCCTGAAAGCAGGCTGAAGAGGGCCTTCCGCCCTACCTTCCGGCGTAGTCCAGAGTGACTGCCCGCCCACCAGCATTACTGGCTGGTGGGAATGAAACACCCGAAAGTTTTTTTTTATCTCATTCATTTTTACATTTTCTTTAGATACTGCTTTTTTAATGTAGTTTTATTCTGTGGTTGCTCTGTTTCTTCGATAGCCTAAACGCGTCTCACTCATCTTTTCATTTTCTTCTAGAGCATCTTCCAAAGTATCTCTTAGTATTTCTGCGTGTATTTTGTAGTTAATGTAGTTCCTCTGTAGTTTTCTGGTTTTCTATTAAATTGTTATGCCAATTTCTTTAGTGTACTTAATATTCATTGAAGGATCCTTTCTTTCATATTTTGTTACTGACAATCTAAAAAAATTGCAGGCCAGTGGTACATTCTATGTAATGTGGTTTACATCAAAATATTTAATATGTTTAAATGCAGCAATTAATCCGATTATATATGGACTAATGAATGACAAATTTAAGAAAGCCCTTAAGGAAACCTTTCTTTTTAAATGCATCAGATCGTTAACGACAAACAAAAAACATGAATGTGGAGATACAACAAAAAAGAATGTAGACAACAACAATAAGTCTACATTAAAACAATAGTATAATTAACATATATATATATATATATATATAAGTCTACCTTTGTATGATATAATAAACAAATAAACAAAACAGTAAAAATAGTTACTCTTATTTTTTACCCAAAAGGACATAATAAAGAAAAGAGAAGAAGAAGGGGAGGGGAAGAAAGGGATAAAGATAAAAAGGTGAGGAAGTATACTTACTTAGGATATGGCTTTAGTGATAACAACAGGGATGAAGTACATAATATGAATCAAATTGCTAAAGGGAAGGCAACGTTGGAAAGGTTATGGGGTTTGAGTCAGAAGTTATGTAAGCATGGTATGGGGTAGAAGAATGATGTTATTTAAGGTGATGGTTGTGAGAAGTATAGTGTTCTATGGAGTGGAAATTTGGGTACGGGAAGCAAAACGGCAAGTAGAAGTATTGCACAAAGGATGAATAAAATGGGTATTAAATTTAGAAAGATAAACACCGGTCTATCTATGTAATAAGAAGGTAAACATTATGTGGGAAAATGTGGAAGAAGCAATAAAAAGGGTAGTAAATATGAGAAGGAATTGGAAAGCTACAAGAAAGGGAAACAAGAAAAAAAATATGAAGAAAGAAGGTAATGTAAATAGGAATAAAAAGTAGATATCATAGAGAAAGAGAGGGAGCTTAAAGATATTAAAAATAAATCAACAGCAGAAGGAATGGTTCAGGGAAAGGAAAAAAGGTGAATTGATGAGAAAAAGATGCAAATAAATAATAAGAGAGGATTTAAGAAAAATAGAGAGATCTATATATATGGTGGGTATGAAGGGGGTTATATGGAGGGAATAGGAGGGAGAATGGGTGCCAAAGTATTTAGTAGAGTGGAGGGGGTTAAGTGTAATAGCAAGATTTAGCACAGGGAACGAATGTAGGGGTTGTGAATAATAGGAAAAGGAAGAAGAGAGACGATATAGGATATGTAAAAGACAGGAAGAGCGCTTAAAACATATATTAGCTGTTCGAGTTTCTCAAGATGTTTTACCTAATACATGCGTTTTTACGCAAAATTGTGAATGAAGTCTATTTTTAACATATTTCTTAATTAATACACAAGTTGAAAAAGGCAACTGAGCAGATATTAGAAGGGGGAGCATTCCCCGGCATTTTCCCTTTGGTTAAAGCTCTGAACGTTTTACCAATCGCGAATAATTAATTTCGAAAAATCGAAATAAAGAATGTACCTACCTACAAGAAGCAATAAATATAAGAATAAAGAAAAAAGGAAAACCATTATTACAAGATGGAAAAGAAGAAGAGGAAATTAAGATAAAAAGAATAGAAGAAAGAGCTTCCAGCTGGAAGTAAAATTGGATGAAAGAAAACAAAAAATTGAAAAACTAAAACAACAACAAAAATTACACTTATACCAACTTACGAAAGAAAGATCTCGTGATCTGTTTACTGGAAGCAGTTTGGAGCAGTAAAAGAGGTAAACGCATGGTCAGAAAAAGCAGCACCAATGATAATTTCATTATGAGGAGAGGCACTGGTTATACTCCAGGAAATGCTCGAGTTTTAATAATATGACTTCCACTAACATGTCAACCGTCTGGAAAAGAGCTACAGCAGTACACATGTACAACTAGTACATCAGACGCAACTGAAAAGCAATAACCAACGAAATAATGAAACTCATCAAGAATTTAAGTCCTTAGACTAGCATGTCAGAAGACTTCATGTGAAACATTGTCACAAGCCTTACGGATTGAATCGGCGAAGCAGGCTTCCAAATGCATACGGATAGCGTGTCGTTCATTAAAGAACCGATATCGATGTGAAAAAAGCTTCTGCTAGAGACACGAGAAAAACACAATTCAAAATTTTGGGTATTTGGAAGGACTGGTCAACAACTATAGTTGCCTTCCGAATCGTTAAATAAATTAGCTAATTTTGGGAAAGATGTTTTGTTATTATTCGAAATTTATATCATAAAAAAGATACTGTTCCGTAAAGTCAAACTCAATAAATCTACAGTTATTGTACCACAAGTGCGTATGTATAGTAGAACCACCTCGTGCATTAAATTCATAAGCTATTTCAATCCATGGCTTTTCTTTTTCTCGTCAGGTAACCGCATCGTTTTTTTGGATTCTAACATTTTTTTATATTTTATTAATGTCTATGAGTAAATTTATTTCGTTTTGAGTAAAATTGGGAACTCTTTTTGATTCCTTTATTTATTACAATATATATTGTCAATAAATCAATGTATTTTTTTGTTTCACGTTCAAACACTTCTCTACTTTTACACAGTTATAATGTCATTGTGAAAATATTTTCTTTTGTTGTTGAACGTTCGTTTGTTAACTATTTTATAAGCATGTCATAAAACATCTGCAACACATTTTTGAATTTTTGTACTTCCCGCAAATATTATTAGCAGTTTACAATATTCAGATACCAACCTAAGCTTGACTAAACTGAACTAGTCAAAACGACTATACACATCGACGTTTACTAATGGACATGCCTTAGGTATCGACTAATAACCAATAACCTGCGGTAGAACAGCATTTTTTTCTTAAATTACCAGTAGTAGCAGAATACTTTTCTTATTAAAAGGCTACTGGTGGTACACTAGACACATCCAAATGCTTATGGCTCTCAGATGCTCACAGAATATGATATTTCTGTGGTGTACTGTGTGCATATCTATGGTCATAAACCTATGAATCTTCACCAAAACAAAAATAATTAAAAATCTTGTCTATGATTTAAAAAAGTGTGAACAAGTGTGAATATTATTTTTTAAAGACGGTATGAGTATTTAAAAACTCACAATCATGGGTATCTTAGATAAAATATCAGAAATAGAAAAAGAAATTTCAAGGACTCAGAAAAATAAAGCTACAGAGTATCATCTTGGCTTATTAAAGGCAAAATTGGCAAAATATCGGTCTCAGCTACTGGAACCCTCAAAAAAATCAGAAAAAGGTGATGGTTTTGATGTTCTTAAAAGTGGAGATGCCAGAGTGGCTTTAATTGGTTTTCCATCAGTTGGAAAGGTATGTTATAATAAGTATGTACTTAAGTACTTAAATGAAACATACAAATTTTCTTGCATTTTTCAAACTCATTGCAGTCTACTCTTTTGTCAACCTTAACAAAAACTGAAAGCGAAGCTGCATCTTACGAATTTACAACATTAACATGTATTCCTGGAGTTATAGAATACAATGGGGCTAATATTCAGCTATTAGATTTACCTGGAATTATTGAAGGTGCATCACAAGGAAAAGGAAGAGGTTTTTATCACTAACTTACTATGTGCTCCATATTTTATGTTTATTAACAATATCTTTAGGAAGGCAAGTTATTGCTGTTGCTAGAACAGCCGACTTAGTTCTAATGATGCTTGATGCTACCAAACAAGATGTGCAAAGGCAGCTTTTAGAAAAGGAACTGGAAAGTGTGGGAATCAGGTTAAATAAACAAAAGCCAAATATTTACTTCAAGGTTAAAAAATACCTATTAATTGAGGTATTATTACTAATACCTAAAATACTTGCAGATCAAAAAGGGTGGTGGTATCTCTTTCAATTCAACATGTCCATTAACTAAGATTGATGAAAAACTAGTTCAAATGATTCTTCATGAGTATAAAATTTTCAATGCAGAAGTTTTATTTAGAGAAGACTGTACTGCTGATGAACTGATCGATGTAATATGTGCAAATCGTGTTTATCTTCCTTGTCTTTATGTCTACAACAAAATCGATCAAATTTCTATCGAAGAAGTTAATAGAATCGCAAGACAAGCACACAGTGTAGTTGTGAGGTGAGTATTTCATTATATACGTACCTATGTAAGCATCTTTATCAAGTAAAAAATATGCATAATTTTATCAAAGTGTAGGCAGTACAAACTTGATATTGGTAACAAGAGCAGATTAAATTGTTTCAATACATTTGAATGTTTAAATTCACTATGAAATTTGTCAATAATATAGTTTTACTAATATACTTACATCTATTAAGTATGTAGCATTGAAGTGTGAATAATTTTCTTTCTCATTGAAGGAAATTTCAAAAATCATTTTAAAGGGAATTTTTCATATAATGGCAGTTTAGTTACATGTAATGTTTTTTAATAGCGTTTAGTTCTTCGACTTGTCTCAAAAAGAATATCCGCAAATTCACTAAATCACGCTGAATGCTAAAAATGCGGACCCAAATATATAAATAAAAATTACAGTTTCGTCATATTAGCAAAATTAATAAATGTCTTCAAAATTTTTATAAAATTAATTGAATCTACCTTTACTCTGTGGAAATTATTTTAAATTATAATTTCCATAAAATTTACTTAACAGTAACATCTGCAGAAGCCACAAAATGGTGATATATGTAAAATAATGAAATTTTATGAAAATTACATGATTTGATTTTTAATTTTCTCACTTTTACCATTGTTTCAGTTGTAACATGAAATTAAATCTGGACTATTTACTAGAAGTGTTATGGGAATATTTATCTTTAATACGAGTCTACACAAAGAAGCCTGGTCAACCTCCTGATTTTGCTGATGGGTTAATTTTGAGAAAAGGTGTTAGTGTTGAGCATGTGTGCCATGCCATTCATCGAAACTTAGTTCAGGCTTTTAAATACGCTCTCGTTTGGGGTACTAGTACTAAATATTCACCCCAAAGAGTTGGTATATCACACATCATGCATGATGAAGATGTTATTCAAGTTGTAAAAAAATAATATTGTTACAAATATATTAATTTGATACACCATCTGCTTCTGTGTATGTTAACTTGATTATTCTTACTGCTTTATATTTCAATAAAGGAAAATTTTTAAATGAAATGTATTTTAAAACATAAATATCAGGTTTTTTATTATAATGGTAACAGTAGTAAAAGTACATCATGCAAATGACACCTATCATACAATTGTAAGGTACAAAAAAAAATACTGGCCTAGCACTGAAATCGTAAAAAGCATAAGCGCGTAACATTTACTGTAAGAATGATGATGCACAAAAATTATGAGAAAAAAATTCAAAAGCGTATAACTAAAACTGTTATTATAAATTAAAGACTTAAAGACATTATTATTGCACTAAAGAAATAACTGCAATAACAAAATGTAGTGACTAGGTGATGTGAATGATATATAATATATTCAATAAGCAATTAAGTCATAGTTGATGCATGTTCATTATTCAATGCTTAACTTAAACAAATATTGTACTTCAACATTCGTCTTGTATGCATGTAAAAGTTTATTTAAATAATAAAAAGTAAGTATAACAATATATCAATTTATCAAATAAAGTAATAACTTTAGAATAGGGTTTTCCAATATTTGTATAATTGCATTACAAGATTGTAAT